AAAAAAAAAAAAAAAGAGATCAATATTTAATACACCATCAGGTCCTGTCTTCAGACATAGAGGGCATATAAAATTAAACACGTGAAAAGGATCTGGCAGACATGTCTTATTAAGTTATTTATGGACTGGAAGACAATGTGCCATGATGAGATGTTCTGTACTGTACCATAAAATATAGGTCACAGCATGTGGGCCTCTTTTCTTTGACCTCCTGTTGGCGGACGTCATACTCCTCTCTGATTAATTGGACAAAAGCAATGGTCAATAATAACAACACCCACAATAACAATGAAAAATCTTATTTATCGTTATTTATTTTCACACAGAATTCATGTAAGTCATGGGTTTTAATGAACAAGGCTTTTTAATTTTCATTTGCACTAATTGCCACTTAAAGGTTCAGTGTGTAAGATTTAGGTGAAATGGATTTATTGGCTGATATTGAATATAAAATAATCCTCGTGATTTTTTCACTGGTGTGTTTCATGTAAATTGTATGACTTGTTGTTTTCTTTACCATAGAATGAGCCCTTTATATTTAAATACTCCATATTTACAGGGAGTCGGGTCCTCTCTGTGGAGGCCGCCATGTTTTTTTACTGTCGTCCAAACTGGACAAACTAAAACTTTCTGAGTTTTCATGACAACTGAAGTTCACCACAGGTTCTCTATCATGTTGGGAAGGGGAGGGTAAGATGAGGAGTATTCAGTTGCAACATGAAACTTCACCTCTAGATGTCACTAAATTCTACACACTGAACCTTTAAAACACTCACATGCACAGACACATATTATAGACATTTCATATGAAGCTATTGAATCCACAGACTTTTTCTACATATAAAAAGAAAGGCTTAATATTTTAAGATATTTTCTAAACCTTTCCGGTCAGAACCCTCAGAGAATGTCCAGAAAATGTTAATGCTCTGGAAAATGTGAGTGAGGTGTCATACACGAAAAGACGCAGACTAAGATGTCTGCTTAGAAATATTCAAGAGCAATTGGTATTGATGTGCTATAAACAAAAAACGCAGCGAAACGTATATGTCATGTCCTGGCTCCTGTATGTTCCCCCCGCCACCTAAAGGTTTTGGACATTTTTCTGTTGCACGTCTTATCCGGACAATCTCCTACAATCTCCATGTGAAAGAAAAACTCAGGAGTTCATAGATAAACCACAAGCCTGGATCGATCCCAAGCTACTAACCACTATGTTCTTTTTTCAAGGTTCCTCCAAATGTTTCACAAAAAATGATGTAGTTCCAGAGTGATCAAAATAACAAACAAGAAATGATTTTCACTGAATAATCAAAAACAAAAATATTGTGCCAAAGTGAACTGGATATCTTGCTTATTGCTTATATCATCATGTTCATGTAATGAATGCAACAAGTAATAGCATGTTCAACATTTCTTTCCTGTGTTACATCACTCAAGATAGCAAATAGCAGCTCTCGTGTGTGTACCTGCCCGTAGATCTGATCATTTCAAATTTCATTGATTCACAGCACCTGTCTTCAAAAAGCACATCCACTCTGAAATCACACCCCTGCCTCCATTTTCAAATCTCCAGTAATCTTCCTCAAATTAGCAATCCAGAAGAGCATCTATAACCATCAAAGCCTGCAATAATTATTATTACTCCCCAGAGACCCACATCAGTGATTGGTTGAATAAATCTACTCACCCCTCCGTGACCTCTATGGGTGATCTGTAGGCCTTCGATTGGCTGTGCTTCTTCTTGGGACAGATTATCTGTCCAATCAGAATGATGGTGATGACACCAGAGGGGAGGAGGATGAAAACGAGCAGGACGGCAACATCAGAGAAGCGAACGCTGATGGCTGTGGAGAAGGTTGGAGGTCACAGGACACGCATTAACAAGCTGTTCATCAGCACGCATGTACATGATATCATATCATGATATCATCCACACTTAAAAAATGCATTAATTATACACATATTAGCTGTTCACACCAATATACAGAAAATACTGTTATACTGTGTGTCACTTTGCACTTGCAGTGATTAAATTCTAACCAATTTAATGGTAGTGAACAAGAAATTACCAATTCAGTAAACGTGTCTCTACTACACATAGGGGTGATGTGTCTTAGCTGGGACCACTGACTTCCTAATTGCCTGGCATCCAGGAAATTAAAAAGATGATGTTAGTATGCTTTAGCAGTGCTGGTAGTAACTCTACTTATATCTCTTTGACAACCAAATTAATGTGTATACAAGGTTTTTTTAAGTCTGTAAAGTCTGTAAAACATGTCTATTGCAGTGAATGAGGACTGTTTCCATTCCCAAACTGAAGCCAGTGAGTGAGTGGTGGTGGGTTTTGAGAGACTTATATCAATATTACCTCTTTCACAAGAAAATCAAGTATCAATGTATTTCCCAAAATCTAAAAAACATACATACTATTAACAACCTGTCCTACAAATAATATATCTTAGTGTGATGCCTTCTACAAATGCATGTCAAAACAGTTACAGCAGTTACATCAGTCAAAAACCAGTTTACTTAAGTAAAAGTAGGTAAGTTACATCTGACGATTGCTCCCCCACTTCATCCCTGCATCTAACGATCAGCACTGTGCTGTCAGCGGAGGCAGGCAAACACACAGGCAACATCATGACAAGCTTGTACAAACACTGAAGACATGTTTGGATTAGTCTGCTGCAAAAAATATGGGGCTGGCAGTGGAAGCTACTTTCTCCCGGTGCAGACACTGCATGTAGTATACAGTTTACAAAAGCCAAACACAGACAACTCAGGGGAAATAAGGACAAGCACTGAGTGGAGTGTGAACCTTTAGACATATGATTTTAAATCAAGAACACATCGGAACAACATTGGAAGAGTCAAGATCAGATTTTGTAATACACCGATATGTTACATGCATTCAAGTTAGTTTTTAAGAGGCTGTAGGAAGTCAAATGATTGTGTACTTTGCATTGTGAAATGAGGAGAACTTCAAGCAATCCTACCTTTTGGTGTGACTGTGAGTACTGTGTGTGAAGTTGGGGACCCGTGGACATCAGGAGGGTTTCTAACGGAGCATGTAAAGGTCCCATTATCACTCAACGTGGCGTTGATCAAAGTGATGGAGGCTTCCCCTCGCGCCGGGGTTCCCTGCCACTGGATACGGCCAGCGAACTGACCGTCTGATGGAAGGAACGCCCGTGAGGAGAAGTGGAAAAACTAAAAGACAAAAAAAAGAAAAAAAAATTTAGATTAATAAAATGGATTGACTTGTGGCTTTGCTCCTGATGTCATGGCATTAAACATTAAAAAGGTTTATACCAGTAAATCTTCCATAGCTGGAAGATTTACTGGTGTGTTGCTGTGAGGTCAGGGTTCTATTGTCCATGCAAAGGGCAGAACACCTGTTGGATTAGAAGCAAAGGCTCAAAATTGAAAAGATGTGAATTTGGGTCTTAGGATAACTGACCCCTGAAATATCTGACACCTAATGTATAGAAAAATTAACAACAGTCTAGTAAATCATTCAAACTTATATTGGATCACACACGTGAGCAGTAATAAAGCAAATTTCATTTTATGAAAAACATTGACAATAAAATCTTCATTGCAGATAAACCAGGTAGGATGAACACTACGTTTTCTAACTTCACTCTGCACCATAGACTGTTAATGAAAAAAATCTGCAAACAATAAGGAAGTGATCTAGAACTATGTTATAGAACTGTTTGAGGAGGACTCACTAATGACAAGGGATAATTCTGAAGTAGCTCCAGAGCTACAGGACAAGAGAACAGACCCTTCCAACCAGGCAGGTTCAGAACAGACACTGCACTAGTTTGAATACAAATTTGATCAAGTATCATTCTGTCTTCAACAACTAAACTCCATCCCGTCATTACTCCCACATCAAGCTGACCTCTCCAAGGCAAGACATCTGTGGGTGGAGAAGGGGGAATGAAAATACTGTTTGTTTATCTCAGAGTCAACCAAGGTTTGGAGAGTTTTCTTTTTAGATTAGTCACCACTAACACTGAGACTAAAAACACAAACAGGAACAGAACAAGGTTGAATCCAAAAATATTTGTAGCCACATAATCTCAGTTGGTCTTATATATACTGTTTCTGTGCTGCACTATATTTGTGCTGTTTTATACCCTTTGTTTACTTAATATACATTCAATTTAATGAAAGTTGAAAAACAAACTGTAAGACAATGCAAGAGAAAAAGAAAGAAAACAAAGTATTGTACATGGCACTGACCCAAGGTTCAGGTATTAGAATCAGAATATATTTTAATGAACCCCACAGAGACATTTTTTGTTCAAAACAGAGGAGAAACCACATAAAGCAACATAGAGCAAGTAAAGAGATAAAATCAGCTTATTGAATAATGACTTTGTCCAAATTCACAACCATATTGGATTCAACAGTATGTTAAAATCCCAAAGATGCTTGCTCTCACGTCACGATATCAAAACCACATGCTCCTGAAACTGTATTTTACAACTGTTAACGACATATTGGCCATTGCAATAAGAGAGAAACTATTTTAGCTAATACAGATAAAAAAATAACTCAATTGATGGATTCAAGAGGATGTGCCATGTCAGCAAGTTGTCTGCATCCCTCTGCCAAGGCCCAACAGTCCCCTTATGAAACCACATTTAAATTCACTAGATCCACATCTTTATTTGGATCTGCACCAAATTGCAAAAACTTAATCAGACCCTGAATAGAATGAAAATGTTTAAAAGACTCTTGAAAAGGATTATTGGATCCAGTCCAAAACTTATGTTTTATTCCTTGGGTCATACCTCCACTTCTACACAAAATGTATTTTTTTGCATAATCCTGCTAAATATCAAACGAACAAACAAAAACACAAAGGAGAACATAAACTCCTTTTGTGGGTTAAAATAAAATGGCAAAATATAGGATGTATAAAATCAGTTTGTATTACAAAGTCTACAGCAGAGTATATTATGTATATAAGAGCATACCATGTATATAAGTCAAGAGCAATACAAAAAATTAAATGTATTATTGCAGTGCAGTACATAAATATCACCCATATATTTACAAAAATGAATAATATATTCATGAGAGTAAAATCTGGGTTCGCATTATCAAGTCTGCACACGGAAACCTCGAACAATATTTCCTACTTACTGATGCAGCCTAAATCAAGATCATGCAAATGTGTATTTATTTACTGCCTAAAGGTTTAAACACTATGAACACTGTCAACACGGATAACTGTGTCTGACCTCCCAATAAACTGAAGCAGAGAAAAGAAAAATCACAGACACTGATACAGCTTTATATTTTTACAGCTCTGTGTCTATCTGCAGCATTTTTCTAAGAGACTGTAAAACTTGGTCGGAGATAACACTTGTATCTCCCTGCTCTGTTATTCATTCATGACTGATCATTTCAGGACTTGGCACAGCTAAGCCTACATAAGAGCAGCTTGAAGTCAGTGACGACGTACGAGTCTGCTCGGTCTGCGAACAGACACCTCAGCCGTCTGAGGAAAAATGCTGCGGTACGACCATGACAAACAAAAGCTTCCACTGACTAGACAACAGTGTCTCACTTCAGGTTGTACATCTTCATAATTAATCTTTTCTTGAACTTATTCAGCAGAATTCAATTGCTAAATCCTCCAATTACCATCAGCTCCCACTGATATTTGATTGAACATCCAGCCTCTCTTCTCCAATCTACAAAATGAATTCTCATCAGGGCTGAGGTAATTATACAAGTCACTGAAGCACTGCAGCACTTCGGATTGACACTAAAGCTTTGGCAGCAAAAAATATTTTTTCTGACGGAGCTTTTCACATGCTTATTCATGGTCTCTCTCGGTGTGATATACGACCGGGGGGACGCACATGCCAAAAAAACTTGCCAAAACGCCTAATGAAATTGGATGGAGAGTAAATGCAGGCTTAGAAATTGAAATTAGAAACCTCCAGCCTTGGTTCCATCTATGCATCAAGAAACTGGCTCTCATTATTTATCTGTGATAAAGAGAACAAATGAGCTGGGGTGGTTGTCAAAGGATATGCAGACAGTGTTGTGGCTTTTTCCTCATACCGACACGCCTTTTTATTGTAGTTGTGCAACTTCATCGCCTGACTATCTGCTGACACATGCATGCATACACAAACTAACACTGATATAACATGCAGTCCTTTTTCTTCTCCTCCCCCTACACTCTTTAAAACAAGACAACTGGATCTTAATGACTAAACCAACAGCACTCCATATCAGCACAGCCACAAAACATTAGCTTCCACTTAAGTCTGAGTGCTCCTATAGGAGATGATGGCATAAAGAGTTGTAGCTACCACACTATGGATTTCTGTGCTCAAATGCGATTTCGCAGAACCACACATGATGGCTATCCTCAAGTCCAAATGGAGCTGCTTAAATGATGTGGCTGAAGCTGAACCCAGACTGTGTGTGGGGTTAGAGGACTGAGTGCAGTTATGGGTTGGAATGGAAACATCTGAAGGCATCTCGAGACCACAACACTGCCACAGAGGGAGGGGTTTTAAGGTAGCTGACCAGAAAGGGTTTCCTGATGAAGCCCCCTGCAAGACGCAAAAGCGTGTGCTGGAAGGTGGCGGGTTGAATACGGGATCAGTCCAGTGATGCTGGTAAATGAAACTTACTAATGCATAGAGAATCTACGTTAAAACACAGGGTGACTCGGTGTATGTCTTCTTCGGGGTAGGTGAACATGTAGTGCTCAGATCAGTCAGAGAGTCAAAGAAGAAGCATAGGATGACACATACCTGTACACAAAGTGTGAGATCGAAATGCTGAAACTCTGGCATGTTTACATTGCTGTGTAAATTGTACAATTACTTTTAAAATACAAGTGTCCAAAGAGAATATGTATTACTCTTTGGTCTACCAGTTATTAAAGGTCATATGTTGACATCATATTAATATCATTTTACAGCCAATATCCATCTGTGCATTAACAAATGGGTAACCACTCCTCTAAGTATTATTAGTCTCATATCTAATTGTTATGTATTTATTGGTTTGTTTGATTTTTGTCCTATTTTAAAATTGTTTTTCTTTTGAATTTGCAGTTTTTCAAAAGTAACACCTCTCACTTCATTAAGCTGTGCACACGCGCGCACACACACACACACACACACACTTTTCTCTCTCTCTCTCACTACTTTGTGAACACTCAATGACACACACCGACTCAGCTGCCATGCTACAGTTTAAACATTGATTTGTTTGAGATGACGCCACAATGTCAACACTGATCCTCACATGATGATCAATGCTTTTAAATCTTTCTTTGTGCACATTCATTCATTCATTCATTCATTCAGCTCGTCTCGCTGAAACACGCACTCACACAAACACAAACAGTGTCATCGGACACATCTGTAAACTCAGACTCTGTAAACTTAGACTCCTCTATGGAAAAAAAAAAGATTTAAGTTTGAGTGAAAATACAAGTATTCTAAGGAGTAATCTGACACCTTGAATAAATATTGATTCAATGGTAAACAGACGAAAAAGAATAGCACAAAATGTTTGTTTCTCTTTCTCAAAGCGAACTGGATTTTCTTGAAATAACTCTCTCGAAATGATGTATTCATTCAAGGACAGCATCAGCGTTCAGCTGGTGTGCTGCTCAGCCGTGTGTCTTGGTTTTCCTAAACATTTACCTCATAATGTTTAGATAAAGGCATCAAATCATGAAGAATGTTTTTCTCACGGTTCTTAAAAAAGTAAAACTAAGAGCGAGCATCTCAACATTTAGAACGGATAGACTTCAGATAGACATGTTCATTTAAACACCTTCTGATAAACGTATACTCACTGTCTGTGGTGGGCCTCCACTCTGGGGCCTGTAAGACCAGTCCACAGTCATCTTACTGGTTGGCCTGCTGGTGGAAGTGAAAGCGCAGGACAACTTGACGGCGTCCCCACTGAATGCATGGACTTCTGGCGGAGAACTCACCGAAATGGAGGCGACTAGAGGAGGGACTGGAAGTGAAAGGGTAGAAGGTCAGGGTTGATATGTGATATGTGCATATTTAGATGTTAAAGGTGTTCAGGTACAATGAGAGCAAGGACAGAGAGAATACACGGGTGTGACATTTTACTCACCCATGCTGTAAGCAAACCTGATAGCAGCTACAAATACGCACACACTGTGGTAACATGAAGTGTCAGCAAAGCATTTCCCTCTTGGGAAACACTAAACTGAGAACAGTCTTATGGAAGTTTCTCACTGGCCTCTCTTGTTGCGTTTGACAGACTTGTTACACCTCTGTCTGTCAGGGGCCTTCACTTCCACACAAAGCGTCTGCTCCTGTGTTTGACACCAGGTGTGTTTTCATCGTGTTACACTTCATTCACAACGCCAAGGGAGGCCGAGCTGAGCTGTGCCCACAACTTGCTATAGACACACTCTGCATTAGAGCAAAATAAAGCCAGGGGATGATCGACATCAGTGGGATGCATCCTCTGGGAACCATGAATATTTCCCAAAAATGTGTCATGTTATTTACCTGAAAAAAAAACCTACCTGGTGGTTTTGCTGGATGAAACGTTGGCATGCCACTTAAGGCATTAGTATAACTCATCCTGGGACCATGAATATAAGAAGCAAAGTTCATAGCTCTCTATCAAAAAGCTGTAGAGACCAAATCATTGCAACTGAAAGACCCTGTCACTAACATTGATACGAATCAAAATATTATAACCTTAAATGTATCACTGTCTTCATGGACTTTAACATGACACTATAAAAACTGCTGTATTTGAGTATTTGAACTCAACATTAGAGTTTCTTACACGGTCTTTTCTGAGCATAAATGAAAGCTCATCCTTCTCCATTTCAAAGCAAAGGCCTCAAACCATCCTCTCTCTGAGGACTGACTGAGAGCAAAGTAAGCCTGGCAATCAGCAGATATATCTGATCCTAGACTGACACCACTGTTTCCATCAAAGACCCCACAGCCATGATGAGGACAAAGTTTATCTCACAGAAAATAGTGTGAGAGATATCAGGCAATCAAAGACCCCCAGGGTGAGCGGGTGGACAGCATGAACAACGCTATCACTTCTTAAAAGTGGAAATCAAGCAGAGGGGCCTTGAAAGCTGAAGCACTCTTTAACTTGAAGACAGGATAGATGCTGTCAATCTGGTGATAAGCAGTGGGACTGGGAAGTTGGAAGCTCATCAGTGGGGATGCTGATACCGCGAACAACAAGATATGTGGACATTTAAATTTAGAGGAGAAAAAACAAACAATAAGTCAGGAGGATGACAACACCATGTTGTGCTGCCCTGCTGTCACCATGGCAGGAAAAAAGAGAGTGGCTACTATTAGTGTAAATGCAAACGCAGCACAAATGTACGACACATTTAAAAACCCCACATGTCCACGTTGCTTGTGTTTGGACAGAGCCACAGACACTCAGAAGACATTACTGGACACATCTCTCGTTGTTTTGTTCTGTAACAGATACTTTCACCAGCCGACAGTTCAGATCCTGTTAAATGTTTGTAACCTCTGGGTACAGGGACAGATCTTCACTTACTGCGAACAAGTTGTCCGTAACCCCAAGCCTGTGGAGACAGACTGGACTCCTGTGGTCTGGTGTTGACATATTCCCACAAAACAACAATAACGAATTGACAGACATATGTCTGGTGTTTGAGGCACAGCTCACTACAACTTCTTAATAAAGTCCACATGTGTTTTCATGGTAAACGTGTGCGTGTGCATGTAGAGGCACAAGATGTGAGCACTTTTATTCCCAGGTGTGGACACATTATCTGTCACCGACAAGTCATACAAGGGCAAGCGTAAAATGGCGTTTGAGTGTGAGGAGCTGTGGACTTCACTCCTCAGTAAACCTACTCTTTACTTTAAATAAAGTGAACTGTGCGGACCGTAAACTTGCTTTAAAACTTCAAACTACACGTAAATAAAATCTATCCTGACTTGAGTATGAGGAGCCAGGCAGCACCCTCCTGCATGAACCAACATGGAGCCGCACACAGCTCCTCTGTCGAAACTTGAGTTGAAACATGGACACGGAGCAGCGGCCTCCTGTGTGTTTACTCACCCGAACAACCGAGCGCGCACAGCAGCCACATCGCGTCCGCAGCGAAGCTCCCCTGGCGCAGGCGACGCATTTTAGTCCGTGACGATTGTGATACTGGATAAGAAGAAGAAGAATGGAAAAGAAAAGAGCTGCGTCAAGGCGCCGCTGAGATCGTGTCCATAGCCTGTGGAGTCATGAGTCAGTGTCCCAGCGCTGGCACACTCACGATCCTACCTGACAAACAGGTGTATCAGGAAGTGAGCTGAGGAGGAGGAGGAGGCAGGAGAGGAAGAGGAGCAGATACTGAGATGATCACCACTCAGCAGAGTGATCATAATCCAACATCTCTGTCCACCACTCCAGAAAATTCTGACACAATGTTAGAATAAATCCTGCCAGTCATAAGAATGAGTAACTCTCTCAAAGTTAAGACGCAAAACTCTAAATAATGAGTTTCTTTCTTAAAATTATGATTATTTATCTTAAAATTGTGATTATTTATCTTAAAATTATGATTATTTATCTTAAAATTATGATTATTTATCTTAAAATTGTGATTATTTATGTTAAAATTATGATTATTTATCTTAAAATTATGATTATTTATCTCAAAATTTGACTTATGACCTCAAAATAATGACTTGTTTACTCAGTTGTTGAGTTATTAAATCAAATGGCGTCTTTGTCACTGTAAAACGACGACTTGAATTCTAAAAAGACTAAAAGACTCAAATTAAGATTTACTAATTTAATAAAACAATTTAGGTTGTCTCAAAATAATCTCATAATTTTAATAACATAACTCTTATTTTAAATCTCATCATTTTGATCAGCATTCATCTTTTTTCCCCTTTCTCTGGCACAAATTTGCTTCGAACAGTTACCAACACAAAGTTGTTCAAATTTGCAAAAAGGACTGAGAAACTTCACCAAAAATCCAAACCATTGACTCAGGTGACAATTTATTAGGTACACCTACATTAAACTATCACTAGCAGTACTGCATTCAACTATTTCAAACTTCACAAGACATATCATTTTCAGGGTTTGTTGAAACTTTTCGGACACAAGTTGTGCTACTGTTGAATTCTATTACACTTGTTGTACTAGCACTATTTATTGTATTACTCTCTTTTTTCTTTTTGTAAAGATGTATGTATTTATGTACTATATATATATATATAAAGTCGGCCATGCACAAGTCAATAGTGAAGAAAAAAGCCCCTCCGAAAATTATATTGTGTTTATTTTGGATGAGGATTATGCTTATAAGCATTAGAGCAAAAGCACAAGACTCTCTAAAACTGGCATGTGCCTGAAATAACACCATATTAAAATATAACACAGTGTTCCATCTCCATAACCTCATGTGAACCCATTGTGTGGAGGCCTGAGGCCCACTTCCTTCTTGCCTTAACTCCCCAGTCAGCTCCTCTGCAAAACCACGGACGCTCTAATGGGTGTCCCCTGCTATTTCTAGGCATATTACTTCACAATCCCTGTCCCCGATCTCTGTCTTCACTGTTGTAATTATCCCTAATGGGAGAAGATATTTGTTTTACTAGTCTTTGCTAGTTCAGTTGCACTCTGGTGTAATGCTTTTATATCTCCTCTCCGTGTTTGTACAAAGTCCTTTTGAAGTTTATTTACATCTTTATTTGGTCAGGATTGTCAGCTACATCCTCACATCCATCTGGTCTAACAGGAGCGTTTCCTCAATTCTGACAGAAAAAGGCGCCGTAATCGTGTTTCATAACCTTATTTCATTTCACGACACATCAGAGGATACCAAATGAGAGCAGCATCCCCAATTACTTTGGGCCCTGCTCTCTTAAACACAGTGGTGCAGCCTTGTGCCACAGACTGATTCAATATTTGACAAAATTACAGTCTAATGCGTGAAGAAAAATATTCTATTATGAGTTAAATAGATAACAATGTGGCTTCATGAGAAGAAAAACAATAATCAAAGCATTTTTGAAAAAGAAAATTGTGTTGTGAAAACTAATTTGGAGTCTTGTAAGAGTTGATGAGTTCATTAAAGTGAACAGGCCACCTTGAGACTCACTAATAAGTGACTATGTGTCCATGTGAAAATGAATCCTGTAACATTTGATTTGAGGATAATAAGGTTAATTATTTCTCTGTTTGATCTGTCTCCACATGTAACAGAACGTTTTTATGCTCTAACCTGAACCTACTTGGATTTAGCCATCCCGCTCATTGCAAACCCCAATTTTTTTTGCAAACCTTTGTGGAAGTCCTCTCCGATAGATGTGGCACAGGCGTCCTCTTCCCTGCTTCCATTCACAAGTACAGTGTTTATATTGTATCTGTTAATAATATTTTGTAACAGTTCCCACACTGATGCAGGGATATCACTTCCTCTTTGGTTGAATAGATACTGAGTGAGCATTCGCAAATTTCTGTGTTCCACAGTGCAGCATTGTGTGAACCATATTAACACTATCTGCTTTAATTTGATAGAGACGCCCCATCCTCCGTCGGAAGATAAGGTCCTATGGCTCTTACCTGGATATGTTCACACACACACACACACACACATACACAGATCTACATTGTGTTATGCATTGTGAGAGTGAATACAGGGGTTCTCTGTCTGCTTACAGTAGCCTGGTTTCAGTTTCAGCTGAAATCGTCTCGTTCACAATGAAGGCTCTCCCCACTCGCTGGCTCTCTGGCGTCTCTGCCCGACAACAGACCTGTTCTTCTGTTGTCAACACTAAGGGGACTAATAAAGGTGGTTTGAATTCTGCCCGCAGACGATGTAGGCAACCATTATCCTTTGTCAAAAAAAATAGTGAGAGTCCTGCAGTTTATTCATCAGTCTGTGCTCTCTACGGGATGAATAGTTGATGAAAAGCTGAATTGGTACACACCACTAATCTCAGTGTAATTTAAAGGTTTCACACGCAGAGAAACTTTTGTTGCCCTGTCACAAACAAGTGAGGCAGCATTACTCAATAGCTTCAAGAGCTATAAGAGGCTTCACTGTATATGATTCACTGAGGCAAACAGAGCTGCCCCTCTACCTTTAGACTGAATGGATTTGTGTTTGTGTGCACATGTGGGTGTGTATATGTGCGTAGAGAGCTACAGCTTTCAGTCAAACATTTGGTCTCATAGCTACAGAACATGCCAGTGAGTTGACTTCTCTGCAAACCTGTTGTTCACACACACCAAATAATTGTGTCTTTATGACGTCAGAGGAAATTACATTGACTTACATTTATTTCCTGGAGACTTTAAATGATTACGGTTTACATTATAGGGACGTTTTTTGTCCTCAAAAGGTGGAGAAGTTCCCATAATGACTGTGTGACTGTAAACAGATTTAGGTCCGGACAACATCAGTCATACCTGGATCACACGCAAACAAACAAACACACATCTTTGTACTACCATCTTATAATTATAATAGTATAATTAATTTGAGCCCCTTACACTTATATGAACCATTACAACAAAATGCATGACTCCAATTCTGACTCTAACCCTAAAAGCAAGTCTTAACCCTCAGACAGCCCCTCACGACCAAAATGTCCTCACATTCCCCCGAATTTCTCACCTTCCCAAAATGTCCTCACTATGTAAGATCATTACTCAAAATGGTCCTCACAAAGATTTGAGTACAAGTAGACATTTGCACACACACACGTGAGTTGTGAAAAGGAATTTAGTGTTCCTCCACAATACTGTGCCAGGTACGACCCATCCTGAAGTGTGGAATGCAGATTGGACCAAGAGAAAGAGAAAGAGAGAGAGAGAGATGAAGCAAGACACACAACAAGTTAAACAGAGAGCGAGAAGGACATATTCAGAGTTTCCATTCATTCCTTTATCGGACAATGCACGTATGAGTCTATTCTTTTGGAAAAAAGGCTTGTGTGTGTTGCATTAATGAACACACAATGGAGATAATATCTTATTAAATGAGTCATGAACAAGGAACGGTTGAGAACACCTCTCTCAGGAGTGTGGCCGTCACCCTGGAGAAGTGACAGTAAAATAGTTGGAGATATACAATCAAATCTGTGTGGATGCAGTTGGTTATGTTTAAAATTCAGTGTTTCCTTTGTATTTGATATTACACACACACACACACACACACACACACACACACACACACACACACACTGGTTCTGTTTGGGTGAGGTGATAGCAGTGATGATGACTGAGTTCCGATCAAGAAAAGGAAATAACATCTTCACTCAAAATACAAAGTGTTCCTCAAGTTGCACTGCATTCTGGGTAAATGGCTCTTAATAGAGAAAATAGGCATATGTTTTTTTCAGTGTTTAACATTAATCCCAAACCTGATGTGTAGATGTTTTAGTTAGCTGTTGCGAGACCAAATTAGCCAGGCTATGTTACAGAAAATATAACATTATGCCCTGAACATCTGAACCAGTTTATTTCCACACCCACGGCTGAATATTGAAGAGGGAGAATCATTTGAAGGCCACTGTTCAAGCTCCGCAAGATTAATTCACAGAAGCTTTGGTGATACAAACAAGATTCTCCAGAAACAACACTGTCGTTCAACCAGTTCAACACTAGTGCACATGTAGTTATTTGGCTTTGGATAAACACACCTCTCTCCTGCCCTGTCCCTCATTTTAGCGTTAGTCATCCATGCTCTGACCAAATCTAATCACACACACACACACACACACACACACACACACACTGTCGATCTGTCACTCAGTAACTAAAGCTGCACCTAGAGGAACAGACTTTTATCAATGCATACACACACACACAGGAGTAACATATTCATGGGCATGAACGATATCATCCGGCAAACAAGGAAAACCATATTTAAGTCACACATTAAAGGTAACGTAATACATATTGAACCTGCCACAAATTAAACAACGATTTCTCGCTGTAACAGGTAAACAAGCAAAGCTCTGCAGACAGCCACAGCATAAGCACACAACTGGAGTACATTAAAAATAATGATGCATAATAAATGCTGGATAATGAGATTCCTCTCTTACATAATAGATGAGTTCTGTCAAATCACGTCAAGTTATGTGTGATTGTTTGCTTCCGGGGCCAACTGGTGTGTTTGCACAGATCAGCTTTGTGTAGTGAAATTTATTTGATTAAAAAAAAGAGGATATAAAGGCATTTTTATTATAAAACCTTGTTTTTTTTTTTATAAAATCTCTAAAGCAAACAGTGACATACAAACAGTACAAAATACTTCTGGTATTATCTATAAAAATAGGCAGAAAAGATAAATCGACAAACATATTGCTCAGTATAAAGTCACAAGTACAAAATTCTGTCACAAAAAGAAGACAGTTACAATCATTTGTTAGTAGACGTGATGCATTCACAGATGCACGGTGAGAAAAGAGGCATTCAAGGACGTTTTGCAATCAAAGGGTTTTCAGATCTGACTGTGCACTCCCAAACGCAACTCGACACAACACAACACATTTTGCGTCCATGTGTTTTTGTCACTCACTGCTCAGGTATTTGGCCTTCAGGCTACATACAGGAAACATTATATGAATGCTTTTTTATTCCAAGTTATCTGACGGGAAGTTTTGTAAGGCCCTTAACCTGTGGAGGACAATGCTGCTTTAAATAACTCTCTTTGTCCATTACAGAGGTACTCCATTATTTTTCAACCTGGGTCATAAATTGCACTTTCTTTTGGAATCCATCCATTAGATCAACTAGGTCATAGTTGCCCCTGAAGATTTAATTGTAGCCACTGCCACTGAGTTGCCCAATAATTTAGTGGACCAATACACATTTTTATTTTTATTTACACACTCACATTTATAAATGTAGCCCAGGTTGAAAAATACCACCATACCCTTTTAAGTCAAGAAATTGTTTGTATACGTTATTGACGTCTTTTTAAATATAACTTATAACATCACTCTACAATACTTCCATGCCAGGATTTTTGGTGAACTTCAGTGCTTGTTGCAGCTGATTTTAATGTCTTCTGACACTTGACAAGGTCAGCGTCTAGAAGTTACTGAACACAGATTGACTCCTTCCTCCTTCACGACAGTGGACGCTACAGCTTCAGGATCATCACGCCTCTCACTTCATAAACCCTGCTGGTTTTTTCCAGCATGTTTTGCCCCATATGAATATTTTTGGACTCTCTCTAAAGCAGAGTCGCTGTAGTTTGGATTCTGCTTCAAATGACTTGATCATTATCAAAACCATCCCTCCAATCTCTTTGTTCTTGTTTGGAAACTTTTCAACAGAACTTTCTTTCCGTTTTCCTACAATTCAGAAACAAAGTGCTTGTTTCTGACTCTGCAGCAGCAGTGCTCTCTTCATCTAGCCTCCATTCAGCACAACCCTGGAATTAAATCCATGGGTGCCATCTGGGCATCCCTCCAGCGAGCTTCCTGGCTACACGTCAGTTTTTCTGTCTCTATCGCCACTTCCTCAGTCAGAGTCATCGTCACCATCGTCGTCGTCTGAGCTCGGGCCCTCCTCCTCTGAGGAGCTTGGGTCTTTGGTGCTGGCCTCTGAGATCATGCCATCTGAGCTGTCAATCTCTATGGACGTCTCTGACATGTAAAGGTGGAAGGACCTCGATGGGTGGCTGGGACACACACACACAGATGGGAAAGGGAGATATGCACCAAGGGGAGGTAAGAGCAACATAGCACACATCCACACACACACAGCGATGTGCATTCATGCTTGACATATTTGTGAATTATTTATGTACATGCATAAGCATAGGTCACACACAAAGAAAGAGGACAAAGACAAGCAGACAGCTACACACACACCAGCAGGGACAAAGGGTTAGAATCACTCAAGGTTAAGTCCCATTTTGAGAGCAAAGGCCGGCTTAAAATATCTCTTTACCCATCTTCATCTGATTTGGGTAAAATTGTTTCCTTCCTTCCCAAAGTTTTTCAGTCACAGATTCAGTTTGGAGTCTGAATAAAATCGATCATAACAAGATCACAGTTAAGTTGTCAACTTTTCCCTGAGAGGCTTGGCTTTTGAAGTCCGGAGCGAACATTATCGCAACAAGGTAAACAGTCGCAGCACCCATTACAGAAAGATCTGAAAACCCAATAGAGAAGCAAAGAAGTCCTGCAGGCCCAGAAAAAAGTTGTTTTTGACAAAATAGCTGATTGTTTGAAACAGACAAAAGGCCTTTATACATGGTAAAGAATGCAACCTCAATTAAATGTATATATAATAAAATAGAAATTTAATGTAGAATTATTACTGCATTTAATTATGTGCTATTTTTTTCATAAAAGGATGAAATGTCTGTTTCCAACAAATGATCATCATCAGGTCTTGATTACTTTCTTCTGCAGCAGACACCAAAACCACTCTTATAACACCAAAGGATCTCAGCAAAATACAGCGATACAACTTCAGCAGTGAAACAAAATGGAAATGTACAACAGCTGACATTTATGAACACCAAAAAAATCTTTGCTTTGTTTCCCTTCATGTGGTAACTGAAATTCAATTTTCAGTTACCACATGATAGTATGAAATGATGAACATGCTCATTTGTTGTGTCACAGTTTCTATTGTTTTGTTGAAATAATATATCATACACAGGGTTTGCGTATGATATGCAGGAGTGGGTCAAATGTATTAGTAGGGAACAGCAGGAATACACCATTGTTCTACATCTACATCATCAGACATTTACTCTAAACAGGAAATGTGTTCGGAAGCCCAAGCTGAACGAGATACAGTTTCTACAGCTTTCCATACATGGACGCATTTTGGTTTTATTTCTGCTTTATTGACAGCTGCCCTCCTGGTCCAGGTTGGGAGCTGCGGCAGGACCACGGAGAGGAGGGAGGAAGTGAAGTGTCCAGTTTAGAAATAGAGCCCAACGGCCCAAGAAAGAGCGCCACATGCCCCGAAACGCCCAGACTAAGACGGGGAGAGAGAGAGAGAGAGAGAGAGAGAGAGAGAGAGAGAGAGAGAGTGTGGCTCCCCCTGTTCCTCTCTCTCCCCTTCTGTCCTTCTATTGGTCTTACCACGCAGTGGGATCTTTTCTCTCTTTGCGGGGAGCCTCCTCGTTCCCCTCCTGCTGCCTCTGTCTCCGTTTCGTGCACCTCCTGCAGTACAGGATGATGACGATGAGGAGGACCACTGCAGTGATGCCGCCCGCGATGGCCAAGGCCAAATGGAGAAGTTGGGAGAAAGAAGCTGTAGGTGAGAAGGAAAGAAAGGAATCCAGACTGAGATGTGTTGTGGTGCATGATGGTTATCCCAGTTGGTCAGTCAGTTTGGTCCAGAGTGAAATGTTGTGTGGATTGCTGTTTATACACACCTTCAAATGCCTCAGAGGATAAATCCCAATGCATACGGTGCTGCCCTGACATTTCCTCTCACCTCTAGCGCCACCATGAAGTATATATTTTTGATGGTTAAGTTAAAAGTCAACAAATGCTGGCAACATTGCCATTTAATTTGGCACAGACATTACAATTCCAAATAAAATGTATTGGAATGACTTTGGTGATCATCCCAGTTTTTCCAGGATTGTTTGTTCATAGAACATGAGATATAATTATGATACTTTATTTGTTGCAGTTGTTAACCTAAGAGTCACTGGCTGTAATGAAACACAACAATTTTCATATCGTACATCAATACGTTTAAATCTGCCGACCTGTGGAGACGACACGCAGATGAATCTCTCCAACCGATCCGTGGACGTCCGGCGGATTCTTGACCTGGCAGATGTAAGTCCCGTTGTAGGTGAACTTGACCTCACGAATTATGATGGAGGCGTCTTGGCCCATGATGTCACCGGCCCAAGAGACGTGCTTCCTGAAAATGCCTTCTACAGGAGGATAGGGTTGTTGCTGGTAGTGGAACACCTACAGGTGGAATTTGAAAAGCAGATTTGCTTTTAGCAACAAAAAGACAGAAAGTCACAGCAAACAAAGACTAGAGCTGCTGGGGAAGGATAATATTTTATTCTTAGGGAGAACGACAAGACACAAACCCAGACCTCATTATGCGCACACACACTCACTCACACTCACACACATACGTATACAAACACAGGCTGTCTTGGATGCTCCGTAGGGAGCCCGATGACTCACCAACTCCTCTCTCAGTTGGTTGAGGGGGTGGATCCGCCCTGACACAATGCGGGAGGTTTGAGGTTTGATCGCTCTTTCTTCCACACACACACACACACACACACACACACACACACACACACACACACACACACACACACACTCACCGATTCCTCTCTGCCTTTTTTGAGCGGTCTAAAGGTCCACGAGATGACAATTGTGCTGGGATTAATAGGAGAGGAACTCTGAAATGTGCACTTGAGACGAGCGTCCGTCCCGTTGACTGCCTCCATTTCCCCATATGTGTATATACGCATCCCGCTGACCCGCAGCACACCTGCAAAATACAAGCATATAGCACAGCAGCAAAGGTTACTAACAGAGAAGAATGCCCCGTTTCCAGTAGCAAAATCAATACATACATACATACATAGCTTACATGAAAGCTTTTGAAAAGAAACACAAATAACTGACAAAAATACAGAGCAAAAGATGCAGTTTGAGTTCACCCTCATCAGTATTTTTCTGCCTTGTGAGTGCATGCAGTGTACCAATTGACCTTATCTCTGCCTACGCAGAGCTGCTGCAAGGAAAATCACTAACTCTTGAGGCGTCGCAGTAACTGTGTTAGATACATATGGTATATAACACGCTGAAGCCCTACAGGCTGGTCCCATGGCTGAAAGTATACAAGATTAGATCTGCAGGCAGTAAGTGAACTTCCTTCATAAAAATCTGCTTCATTACATCTAGAAAGTCCAAACTGATTTCAGGTCAGTAGGCTGATTTTGTGACACTTAATGAATAATTACCACTTTAGCCACACTACTGCAGCAGAGAGCCGAGGCTGAAATTGAAAGTCTGCTGTATATTATATGGATATGGACTATATCAATCTTTACACTATGTGATAGACCTATTAGATGGAGAATGAATGGACTGGAAGAGTGGACAGAGATATTGGCAACAATCTGGCTCTTCCACATAATGATGGATGGAGCTTGCTAGAGTGGAGCGAGCGCCAACGCACATATACAGTACACCGCACAAAAACACACACTCACACACATGCATGCCCCCTCCCAAGCAGAGACATGCTGCAAGCTGCCTTTCTGCCTGGCAGCTGGTCAAAATCATGTCAGAAACCAGACGATCATGTCTCCCTCTCATGTTGATGAGTCTCGTTATTAAGTCACATCCAACTTTATTCTGGAGCAGCCCAGTGAGAATGTACGTATGAGGCTCTGGACGTCTGCGTGCCTCCTGTCCAGTTCAGACCAGCCCGGACTATTTATAGGGGGAGCTCCATATGCCACAATATTATCAGGAGCCATGTCTAGCCTTGTTTAAGACAATGCACTGGCACACAGCAGAGCGTCCATCTGCAGAGCTATAGCAGCCAGTGTGCTTCAGGGGAGCCAAAACCTGTCCTATCGTCATCAGCACACTGCATAGGAGGAATCTGCAGAACAAGTTAAACACTGATGAGGGCTCTGGCTATCAGACAGGCTTGAGTTTAAGCAGAAGCGCTGTCACTTTATATATACGTTTCATCCCCGGCTTCGGGTTTCTTCAGGCGGCATCAGTGTTATAAGATTGATAAGGACTGTACAATACAGTTGCTTTCTAACACAGATATGAATCGAATCTTAAAGGACCTCAGCCCTGAAAAGATGAATTAAGATCCAGTCTGCAATTGAAAATGTTGATTAAGTAAACTAAAGTGGGCCTTCCCAATGCTAAATGGCAACATACCCAAAGGCTCCAGACTGGTTATAAATAACAAGTCTAGGAAAGAGGGCAAATTGAGCCATATCACATCCCCTGCATTATAATCACAGTGAGCATTGAGTCTGGAGGAACTGGGATAAAGTCAGTGGGGTTTTGGCTCCTCTGGCAACTTGTTCTTTCCCTTATCAGACTGGAAAGAGTTTCCTGTGGGCCGGGATGAGAGAGCGGGGTGACCAGACGGCCCCCGCACAGCATCAAACAGACAGGCTTCTCTCTCATCGCCGGGTCCTGACAGCAGCAGCTATAAGTGTTTTAAATGAGCCTGATGAAACCTGGGAGGGGCGTGATGGAGTGAGTGATACAGACAGAGTGCTCACAACAACAAAAGTCCTTCTGAGCAAAAAGCAGAGTCTTGTTTCAGAATTAAAATGTATTTTTCTCAAATGGAAATAAAGGTTTTGGGGCAGTAAAACTGATTTTTTGATTATTCCCCATTAGTGTTATGGACGTTTTCTGGAAGCTGGTGAAAGGAGAACTCAGGTATCTTAGTTACCTAGGTTCTTAGAATCTTATAGATTAGACTCCAATTTGGATCAATCATTTTCTGCGTCAGTCAAGAAACCTGTTGAAACTGTTTGGTTTGAGTAGTAGACAACGCAACACATCTTACACCTCAGGCATCGCTGACATTGTATTATTTAAAGAAGAATTTGACACTGACTTTATTTTGGTATAAAATGAGATAAGATGTATAATTTGATCTGATGGAAGGTGAAGGGAGAAAACCTCCAGTGTAAAAGAAACACTGATGTTAGTGAATCAAACTTCATGCGATTGATTCAGGGCTGGCTGTACCCGGCTATACCTAGTAATAAGTGTGTGTATGTGTGTGTGTGCTTGTACTTGTGCGTGTGTGTGTGTGTGTCAGCAGAAGCATCTGAGCCACAAAGTAAAGGTCTCATATTCCATGTGACAAAGACAAACAGAGGGAATGGAGGAGTGGGGTCCAGAAATAAAACTGTATATTGAATTGCATGTCTCACAAAAACATCGGCTTCGTGCTTCATTTCAGACTATACTTGGTTTCCTGTTTTTTGCAAGACGTTAGACGTGTGTTACATGTTTGTCTGGTCTGTTCATCACTGTGTCCCTTTGTATGTATTCCTATTAACCTTTACTCTTTCTTACTTGTGTGATATGAGCCTGTCATTATCACAATTATGACATGAAATGTGATGAGAATCTCATTTGTGTTTTTCTATGTAATATGTGTAAAATTCAATATTTTACTGTGTGATCGTTAAATTGATGGATTTTTAATTTTTAACTTTTAAAGCACCTTGTAACTGTTTTGAAAGGTGCTGTAGAAATACACGTTATTATTATTATTATACTGACATTACTATTATTATTAATAATAATCTATTTAACATTCTTATGTCAGAGTATAGTGCACATGGTTATCGTAGCAATGTAGCATGACACCTCCTCCTTTACCAAATTGTTAAAAGCTCACGCTGAAAAGATTCATCGTGCTGTTAAAATCCAGAAAAAAAACAGGTCCACAAGTCGTAGGCACCTCAATTATAATCAACCATTCAGTTTACACAACATCAATTAAAATAAGCTTCGCTAATCTGCTTTAAACAACAACAAAAATCCCTGCTTACAACCCTGCGCTCTCTTCTGACACAAGCTGAGCTGAAGAAGAATTACAGTTAATTGGGTCTTTTCAAAGGCAGAGTGGATATTAGTGAAATGACGGAACATTTAAGGCTGTGTACAGTGCCTCAATTACTACAATCATCTGTCCCTGGGGCAAAAAGTACACAATTGCTATTAAATCAGTCATTAGCAGGCCCTAATTGGAAAAGAGGGATGTGTGCCATTACATGAGTGAGGACATTTAAGTGCAGATTTTTTTTTGCACATTTAGAGAAAGAGAGGACAGAGATAAATAAGCACAAACGAGAGAGCGAGCTTAAGTGGTGAGCCAGAGCAGGGTGATCGAGTTGATGAGTGAGTACGAGGTGTATGGATGAAGCTGGAGGGAAAGCAAAATGATGGAAATGCATTTTTCTCCATAAGTGCAGTCACATAATGAGGGGATAATGCCAATTTGTTGTTTGCTTGTTTGTCTGTCCTTTCTTTCAGTCCAGCCCGTCTCTCCGTCCAGTCTGAGTTGCTCACTTGTTTATGTCTGGACATCCTGCCAGTGCTGACCACACCCGGCACACAGAGACACACAGAGAGAGGGAGCTCTCATGGCCTATTAAGATGGAGTTATTTACCCAAGAGGAGGGCAGGGCAGGCGTGAGGAAAATACATGAATTTGTCCTAATGATGTTGACTGACTGACAAAAAGAAATGTGTTAAAAGGTATAAAATGCTGTGAAATGCGAAGATGATCTATTCCACTCTATTCTGGTAATTCAAAAGATATAATTAAATCATATCTTATGACATTTTTTTTCCGTTGTGCTGACACTTTGATGCCTGGTCACCTGAACTTAAAAAAAGATTGAGCCAATTAAGGAATCACTTCAGCATCTCCTGTGTATGTGTGTGTTTGTCAGTATTTGTGTGTGTGTGTGTGCGCGCGCGTGTGTGTTAGTGTGGTATTACTCATGTTGTGAGGACCTAAATCTCATCTCACATTCTAGGGACAAACCCGCAGGTCATAATGTGATGATTAAATTTTGAGGTGGATAATTGATTCAGTCAAATCAATGTAAGTCAATGTAATGTCCTATGCAGTCATGGCGATGTGACTGTGTGTGTGTTGGCTTGGCATCTTCCTGATGGATCCATATGGACAAAGAGTGCACACATACAAACACGCACCCCATTATATGTAGCCTGCCAGTGTTGGCATTAGTCCATGAAACATATTTGTCAATATGTCCAGTCATGTCATTATAAAATGAACTTGCTGAACCTTTAAAGTCTTTTATTCTACCTGTCAACATGACTTGGTACAAACTGCGCAGGTCCACTTTCATTCCTGAAGCCAAAGAGGGCAAATATTTTAATCTGCAGTAAAATAATCAAAGCAAGCCCAGGAGAGTGTGATTAGGTCTGCTTGGCTTGGCAGTCATCCCGAGAGAGTCTAAAAGCCATAATATTTCACCCAATGTCGAAGAGTGATGGCAGCATAAAGCACATAACAATACCCATATGATTTACTGTGTCTTTAGTGTAAAATATGTAGCTGTGCATTCATACATGCTGCCTGCTATTCTGCTATAGTTGAAAAAACACATCCTGGGTTTGGCACTAACCACATTTTCAATAAATCAATAAACTAGAATGGCACTCAGAGAATGTTTACCTCAACAGTCCGCTTATGAAACCACATTTAAATTCAGTAGATCCAGGTTTTTATTTGTATCTGCAGCAAATTGCACACACTCATAAATATCAGTCCCCTAAACATGATTGATTTTTTTTTTTTCAAGATCCATAAATTATTTGCTGAGAAATCAAGGACGATGAAAATCACCCAGTCTCTCATGTTGATAATACTAAAGGAAAAAACAAACAAACGCAGATGAAAACATAACGTCCTTGGCAGAGGTAATAAACTAGCTCCTCTTTCAGATACAC